CTGAAGAAACTAAATATGATTTTTAAGGTGCTCTTCGTCTTGTTATATAATCTGGTCGAATGTTAAAAACCAACAGTCTATTATTATAAATTGAAATATCATGAAAATGAAGCACTTATAAAACAATCACAACTATTATCATTAGACACGATGTTTGATTTAGCATAATTGACGAAGAAGTATGCATTGATGATCCAGCTGCTAAATATATACATTAGTATTATTGAGAGAACCTTGAAAAAGATTTATAGATATATACAGCTGAATATTAACCAAGTGTTGAGTTTTACTGTGAAACTTATTAATGAAATATCAATTGATCAAATGTAACGATTAATATTTATGAACTGTTAGATTTGACTTATACATTATTTAATCCATTTGAACAATTCAAATTATGAAAAATCTTGAGGGTGAGGGTAGGTGTGGATGTTGGTGTGAGAGTAGGTGAGATGAGGGTGTGAATGTGTGGATATTGGTATAAATGTGCGTGTGGATGTGGATGTGAGTGCGATAGATAAGATACACTCACACCCACACCCACACCCAACCTAGGAAGGGTGTAAACACAAAATATAAATATTCTTTCTTTGTTTTTATTACTCTTTTCTAACATAAACAAAATAGGTATGTAATAAATAGAATATTTTTTTCCATGTACTAGAAATAAATTTTATGTATCTTTAATTTCATAATATGCATCAAAATTTATTTGAATCTTTACAATAAATAATCGATATTAGTACATATTTTTATTCAGTTTCTTTTTATAGAATTCTGTTCGTTTATTTACATCTTAAAATGGCTGCAACATTTTTAAGAGATTTTGAACCACAACATGCTCTTCGAATCTAGATGAGTTAGCACCATCACAAGATATGAGAAAATTCTTTTTATATTATATTAAATAATACTACGAACTGAAGATAAAGAAAAATTAAAACTATGATAACTTTATTTAAAACTTTGTATTTCTTTACTTGAAAAATTACCATCAGTTAATCAAACTATTTATCGAGGAGTAGAAATGGATTTAAGTGCACAATATCCACAAGGACAAATATTTACTTGGTGGGGATTTTCATCATGTACAAATTCAGTACAAGTGCTTCGATCGGAACAATTTCTTGGAAAAACAGGAGATGGAACTCTCTTCAATATTGATTGTGAATCTGGTAAAAATATTTAGGGCTGAGAAGTTATTGTTATCTCGTTGTTACAAATAACAATAACAATTTTAGTTATTTGTTACAAATAACAATAACTTTTTTTTGTTATTGTTATTTATAACAATAACTTTTTTATGATAGTTATTTGTTATAAATAACAGGTAAATAACAAATAACTTTTTTTTCTGAAAATTCTGCTAGCTTCGCATCTTGATTGAACCATCTAAAACAGTAGTAGAGATACAGAAAATTCGTTCCAAAATGTAAGTTTACATAACGGACATAATTAAAATATACAAGGAGATGAGAAAAAATATTTTTCAAAAATAAAAGTTATTTGTTATTTATCTGTTATTTATAACTAATAACAAAAAGTGTTATTGTTATTTATAACAATAAATTTTTGGTTATTGTAATTTATAACAATAATAATAAATTCTCACCCCTAATCTATATAGTAGAACTTTTAATATTTATTCTATTAATTCAAGAGGACACAAAACAATCTTTTTTTTATAAATGCATTTTTTCTTCAAAATACATTATATTATTATTTATTGTTCATATATATATTTCAACTTTTCGTCAGATGTTATTTAGTTTACCATAAGCGAATTCAATTCTATTATGACTATCAGTCATGGAAATGTTCGATAAAGGTAATTTTTTCTTCTTGAATTTGAACTGTTTTTTTTTTATAAATTCCAACAGCAATATCATATTCTCTAGTATTAGTATATAGTTCAGACAAATTCAATGAAGTATGCATTAGTACAGCTAGATGTGTTGGAGAATAGTACTTCTGACACATGCATAATCCTCAACTTAAATAATCTTTTCCTATATCATATTCTTTAGTCTGTGTATATATGATGATGATAAATGTTATAACTATATTTTATTCACGCCCCCACATTGAGAAAAAATATCTTTTTCTCACATTCACTGTGTTTTTATATTTTCTCAGTGTTTATCCATCATTTTCAGTTGAATTTGGTCTCACATAATATAGGAAAGAGTTTTATTCGAACTGATCTTTGTCGATAACTACAAAAATGACTTTTATAAAATACGTAGTTTAATTCACATGATTATCTTTATAATCGTCATAAAAACCTGATATTTCAAGCTCGTCGATGACGTATTAAGAAGAAAGATTGATGATTTTTATAAGAAAATATTTTTATTTAGAAAAGAAATGTTCTTGAAATACAAAAAGAAAAATGATGGATGTTTTATAGTTATAAATTTTGATGAATTTTTCTTATATATAACAAATATACTTTGGATTGAGTTTTGACATTGACTGATATTATTTAAAGATAGCCCACTCATATTGCATTCATCTTTATTAGATAAAAATATCTCGCAAATAGGAATGTCTTTACATCTTTTATAATTAATGACGCTTCCATTTACTAATTTTAATTAAATCGAAAAATATGGCATGATAAATGCGAATAGTGTCATTGAAATAATTATCATATTATCAACATCAAGAATAATAGATATAGTCTTGTCGAAAAGATGAAGATAATAGAGCTGAATGAAAAACTTTTCTATGTTAATTCATACTGATTTTAAATGGAGACAAAATGAAACAGCTGTTGCTAAAGAGAATAAAATAAATTAGTGTAATTATCCTAGTAGTATTTTTATTGCTGATATAAGAAATGATTATGCTGTTGAAATAGAGATTAAATACAAGTTGTGATCAAATTATTGCTAATGGAAATAAGAAAAAAGTTAAGGATGAGGATATAGTTATCAGTTAACAATAATACTCACAGCTATATCCTCAAGAACAGTGAAGATCAACATAGATGACGTCATAAAGAAGAAAAAAAATTTACGTATAATATGACGCCATATTAGTACTAATAAAAGAAAATGTACACATCACAGCACCAAGTGACAATTCTTCTTATGTCTTAACTATCTTTACTTAGTAATAAATTGTTTTTACTCATCGAATTCAGTATATAATAAATTCATTAAGTACTCAACTTATTTACTATTTTTTGTAAAAAATTTTTTTATTAAATGTTTTTCAAAATATATGTAAAATAATTCAGAACATATCAATCATTCAGTGCAAATGAAGTTTTATTATTTTCTTATATTTTCAAAATAAAACTCCTTTCACATCGATCATTTTTCTTAGCAATGATAGATGAACAACAAAGTTTATCACAAATTATTAAATATAAAATAAAACATGTTCGTCATTCATCATTTTTCTTGTATATAAATCTGGGAGTTATAGGTGGAAAAGTCATTCCATTATTTTTTTTCAATCGCAGGTGAGAGTCTTAAAATGATACGGAATTTAGTGAATCGTATATGGAAAAAATTTCTTGAATTGAATCTATTCAAAAAACATTCAAGTAATGAACATACTCTTGAAAAAGAACTTCTTTCTACTCGTATTTATGTGATTGCATTAATTGTATGTTTATCTATTATTACTATTACTGTTGCACTTATCGTTCGACCTGTTGACAAAATTGAATATAAACCTTCACACAAGAGATTTTCACAATTGATTCGTAAGTATCCGAGTACTCTTCATTGTCCATGTTCAAAATCTTCAACAAACTATGATAAATTCGTCACTATTAAAGTTAATTTCCATCAAGTTTGTTCAAGTGAATTTATTCAACAGGCATGGATTGACAAACTATTTACAAAGAAAAATATTTCAATCGAATCAATTGATGATGTTCGTATTACTCTTAGTTTTTTTTGGCAAACAATTGCTGGTTTATGTATAGCAAGTAACAAAAGTTGGAATGCTGTTCTTGCAAATTTTGGAGCCACAAGTTTTATCACTCCTACTGCAATTGCTGAACAAGTTATTCGAAGTCAAGCTGAAAACGCTCTTCAAAATCGAATAAATGCATCAAAAACAACGTCAACTCGTAATTTACTTGCTCTTCAACATATAACACGTGGAGATCAAATTGTATCAGCTTTACAAACAAATTTCTATTTACATTATCCACCCGTACATTTAAATCCAGAGAAAACTCCAAAAATGACAGCTCGAACATTTGGTAACTGTACTTGTTTAAATATTGATGGTTGTCCACGATCTGCTACATTTAATGATAATTATGGTCATTTAGTTAATGTACCAGGAATGATAGTAGATTGTTTAATTATTGATGGTGCACTTGCCTCAACACTTGAATGTTATTATAATCAATCATGTATTTCAATTTTACATGGACAATTATCGATGAATATTAAACCATTATCAAATAATTCGAATAAATATTTTTCTATGCATTCGAAAGTACAATTAATTTTTAATGAATTAATGATAGATGAAACAATAACTGAAATTCGATTTGATAAATATTTTTCAGAATGTAATTGTGCTTTTTGCTCATATTCATATACAAGACGTTTTGACATTTTTTTTATTTTCACGGCTGTTACTGGGTCTATTGGTATATTATCATTCATCATACGACACGTTGCATCTTTTGTTGCAACAAAGATTTTACGTCGAAAGAATCGAATTTTACCAATGGAAAATGTATCAACTATAACGTCTATGGAACAGAATCGAGGTAAGTTAGAATAGACTTTTAGGAAATTGATAGTGGCTGATAGTATAAGTCAGAGATAAAGTCGACCTACAGTTTTGACAATCGGTTAATCGATCGATGTGTTAATTTACAACCGGTAGGAACTTCTATTTCTAAAAGTGAGTGAGGAGATGGATGTGAACCTAATATTCAGCTTTCATTCAAAATCATCCTAGTTTAAAGCCGAATGGTCTATGGTTTACTGTATGTTTGATGACTCGAATCACGCATCTCCTATCAGTTTAATGGTTTGTTTTGAATAATGAGACATAAAAAATATTGTATTTTGAGAAAAGAATTTATCATTTATTTTCTTTTCAGATCAACGTATACAACTTCGTATTCGACTTTTATTAAATAAATCATGGCAAGCAATGATATCTTTAAATCTTTTTGAAAAACAAACACATCGTACACCTACGAACATTTATCGAGAACAACTCCTAACAAGATTTTTCGTTTTTTTCATTGTTATTTTATCGATTGCTGCTGGAGTATATACCTTTGTTGTAGAGCAAAATCAAGTAATAACAATTCCATATCCATCTCTTGATACTTATGAACAATTGTATAAGGATCATCCAACCACATTATATTGTCCTTGTTCAGTAATATCCATTTCTAATCAAGTTTTTCTTAATATAACATTTGTATTACATCAAGTCTGTTCAAGCGATCTGGTTTCATCAGAATGGTTACATTATCTAATATCTTTTGATCCGATTTATCTGCCGCCACCCAAGTTTCGCTTCCAATTAACTGAAGATTTTCGTGAAATGGGTGCTTCTTATTTTCAACTTTTAGCTGCTTTTTGTTCATTAGCTGAAATGAACATTGCAGATGCACAGAATGTATTTTTTAATACTGAATTTATTAATGATCGTGTTCCTTCTTCATCACGTTTTAATGAACAAACTGAAGCTATGATGACTTCATTTATTGATACAACAAAATATGATTTTAAACAAACATTTAATTGGATGAAACTTATTTTTATTACTAGTCATTTTTACGATGGATTGAATAGAAATGTTGATATAAATATAACCAATGGTAATCAAGTGACTGCTAAATTTCGTGGATATACTACAGCAAATTCCATAAAAGGTACGACTATAGCCGGTCAGTCCTTCTGCACTTGTGGATTTGATCCTGATTTCTGCCATCTAATCCCTACATTTTATGGAAATACAACATATCTTAACTTTACTGATGCATTCATTAATGCATATTTATTATACAAAGTATTATATCTTGGTTGTTCACCTTTAAGTGGGTTTCTCATGTCAAGAACGAAATGGTGGTACGATATCACATATATGAAACGTATTCAAGAAACTTATTCCATGATTAATCATACTCGATCTTCACCAGATATCAAACCTCTTAATCAATCTATATCGACTCAATTTGATAATCCCGAAACGAATGATTTACTTCGTGAAATGCTACTCGAAAACACAACCAAAAAAGTATACTTCGATAGATTTTATAGTGAATGTAAACCTAGTTTTTGCTCATATACCGTTTTTCAACGTCGCAACTTTATCGTGATATTATTTCTTATTATTTCGATTTGCAGTGGTCTGAACCAAGGTCTTCGACTACTTGTTCCGCTAATTGGTAAAATCATTTTTATTTGTTATGATTGGAGAAGAAACCGAAATACTCATCAAGGTAAGATACAGATAGAGTTCATTTTCGAAAAAAATAATCGAATTAAAATTAAAATAACTATATAAATACATATCAATGAACACTAAAAGAATGCATTTCTTTTCGAAACTAATCAACTTCAAAATTCGATGCGAAATTTACTGAGATTTTTTATAATTTCTTGGGAATTTTTCAGAGGATAACAAAATATTTCATCGTGAATCTTTTTGTATTAATTAGATCATTTTTCTGTCTCTTACAATTGAGATATAATGATGTGATGGTAGAATATGAGTTATTGAAAGTAATAGAATCATAGAAGTAAAGTAAATAATCAGAATAAATTCTGTTAACTACGTTCATCCGCAAGTATTTTTCTGAGAGAAGAATTTTACTGAAAAAGAAATTAGTCGAAAGAACTAAATTGAGAATATTAGCACAAGTTAGAAGATGATTATGAATGAGTAATTGATGTGATTTTCATACTTCTCCTCAGACTATTCAGTCAGAAATGTTATGACTCATAGAACTGCCTTATTTGAAGTACTATTCAAAACAAAAAACATATTCGTTTCATTTCATATATAATTCATTGTAGGATCATCTACAATTGGTGCTCGTTTCAGAAACTTTCCACGTATTATCTATGATAAAATTAAAAATTTCAACATCTATGAAACAGAATCAACTGATAACACTCATATTCGTCAACAACAAATCTATACAAGAATTTACCTATTTCTTTACATAATTTTACTCAGTATTGTACTCTTTTATACAATTCTGATCGAACGTCGTATTACTGAAACACAAGACTTAAATTCGCTTAATGAATCTGAACGATTATTAAGTGTTTATTCAGATGATATCAGTTGTCCATGTACATATACATCAATTCCTTATCATAAATTTATCACTGAATTACGAGTCGATCCATTTCATGAAGCATGTGATATTAACCGGTTGCCCACGATATTGAAAAAAGGTAAGTACAAAGATGCTAGTTTTCTTATTCGTCTTTCTAAAATTCAATCAATTAACAAAATAAATATTCAAGACTTTCGGATTGAAATATGGTCTCTTTTTTTGTTGAAGTTTCATTGAATCTAATTTGAATTATACTTGAATTGTTGATATTGATGATGCGTAAAGAAAAAAAATTTTAAACAAATTCAAATAGGAGAAAACTTTAAATTTTTATAAAATTCTTCAGTCATGAAAAAAGCAACTTTGATTAGCTAAACTTTAAAAATTCTAAATAAAAAACATTTTTTAAGAGTATTCGAATATTATATTTGCAGGTACAATGGGAGGCGCAGGTGGATTTGAGGATTACGATGGACCATACTTAATTTGGATGAATCCTTTCATGGAATCCTTCATTAAAATTTGTTCTTTTGCACAAGAAAATGTTAGAAATAATATTGACGCATTTCTTGTCTCAACTTTGTTTACCAATCAACTAATGTCTCGTAGTCTATTTAACACTGAAATGGATGAAATACTAAGTCAATTCAAAAATAAAACAAAAACTACATTTGCTCATATGTTAGACCTTATTCGTTCAACTACCCAAGGAAATGCTTTACTACATATATATTCACAAGCTTGGAGTTTAGCTGCAGTTAAAACAAACGATGGAAGTAATATTAATTTCCTTACTATACCTCTTACATTCAACAATATACAAGAGAATACAAGTTGTTTATGTAGCACTTTACAAACATGTCGAATACCACGACAAGTAGATATATCTCGTGGTTTGATTACTATTGATGGTATGGTCGTTGGCTGCCATCAGCTTGAAACATTACTTCTCTCATCTTTGGCTTGTTTTTATTCTCTGCAATGCACTAACGACCTTCGAGCTGCTTTGCCCGCAGGACCTTTATCAATGGAACAGTTTGAAGGATTACATACGTCAACAACACGATTCTCTATGAATGACACGATAGAAACGATAGCATATGAAATGTTTATCGAATCATGGTCCAATAATACATCCTATGAAGGATATTTTAATAGTTGCTCACCAAGTTATTGTATCCATTCATATTATCAAAAATCTAATGCATTAGAAATATTAACAACATTTTTAAGTGCATATGGTAGTTTATCAATTGTCGTTTACTTTATCGTACCTTATCTTGTTAAATTAATTAAAAAAATTTTAATTTGCTTTCGAATTACTCAACAACAATGATACATTTATTGAACATTAATTAGAACTATTTCAATAATAGAATATAACTGACATTTATTTGCATACGAGAATGATTACATTATTCAAAAGTTTTGACCTGAAGAGGGTAAGTGCTAGTGTTCATATATAATTTTGAAGGTGATATAAGCTGTGAGATTGAAAATATAGTTAAATATTTTTAGTTAATTTTTCTAATAAAAAAAGTTAACTAAGAATATTTAATTATCGCTACTAGTTATATAACCTCGAAACTTGTTTTACCTTCAAATCTACGTGAGCACTACTCCTACGTTTCATCACTAAAAAGTATTCAGATAGTACTGGAAGTTCTAAACTTATGCTTTTTCTTGTTTTGTGTTGTCTTAAATATAGTTACTGAGAAATATATGATTAAAATTGTTACTAAGCTTCTAAATCTATTGAGCATTCTTATATGTTATATTTTACTAAATACTTGTTGTTTGCAAATTTTGCATTGTATATTTATGCTGCAGCTTTTGTGATTTGTTTTCACTCTACTGGTTTCAATAAAAAATACTTTTGCTTTATTTAATAAAACTAACTGAAATTGATGTATTTCTAATTAATTTGACTAAGATTTATTATAAAATAAGCTTGTTGAGAGTGGATGTAAATGTAGGTAATAGATAATTATAACATTTACATCATTAAGAGTCTTAATTCAATAAATTTATTTTATACGTAAACATCCCTATCATCAAAAGTGAAATTTAGTAAGATAAGAAAATTAATTAAATTTTAAAACAATCTTGTATTTTTTTGTATAAATCAAGAATCCGATTTGAAATCAGTAGATTGTTTTTTCTAGAGTTAAATGATCAGAGACTGTACCAAGATATTATTTACTTTTCTCGGTCATTTAGATTTGTATCAAATAAATCTATGGTAAATGTCATGCGTAAGAAAATCATTGAATTTTGTTTTCATGACATCAATAAATATTAAAATATGTTGATGAAGTGTATTAAATATATGATTGTAATCTTTTTTTGAAGAATACATACAAATTTCAAAAACAAAACAAGATCAGTCATTAAAGAAAAAGTAAGTCGATTTATGAACAATTTCTTGGATTTTTTTTCTCTGTTATTAATAAAAACTATGCTTGTTGAAGTAAATTCTTATCAATATACTTTTCTTTATTTATAGCTACTAGACATGATAGTGCATCTAGTGTCAAATGATAATTGAAATAAATCAAATTTAAGTATTGTATTATCTTATCACAAAGAGAGAGAGAGAGAGAGAGAGACAGAGAGAGAAATAAAAGCATTAGTAATCTAAATGTATCAAAGATTATATTTCTTTTTGTAGTTTGTTTACGCTAAAATCAATCGAATACAGAATTTCAAATGACAAAGGTTAGTTTTATTTAACAAAAAAAAATGAAACAATTTCTTTTATTCAGAATCGAATTGGTCGTGAAAATCCTGTATTTGAGTTAGATCAACAACCGTAAATAAAAAATCCTACAAATGAATCGATATTAACAACAAAATTACAATCGATAGAAGAACAAGAAGAAGATGATGAAGATAAGAACCATGTAGGTTTTGAAAAACTACCTGATGATGGTCATTCAAGTGGTTTATTTGTATTAAAACTTCGAAAATATATAATTCAAAAACAAAAAGTCAGTTTCTTTCGATTTATTTTGCATATTTTTTCTTATTTTAATGTTTGCTAGGCTGCAGTAATCTATGGATTGAAATTAATCTTTTTTATTGGTTTTCTTATTTTCTTTGGATACCCTATGAGTGATAAATATGGTACACCTGCTTTTCCTATTCGTGGCAATCTCTTTCATGATAATTCAGGTATTCTGATGTGGACTATTAACTTTGATCATTCGTTTTATTTAGGTTTTGCTTTTTTGTTTCTGATACTTTTCACAATATTTGTTATTGCATGGGAAAAAGTTCTTCGATATTCAATCGAACGTTTATGTCAATATATTTCACTATCCATCAAAAGAAAATGAAACATGATTTGATATTCAAGATAGTTTATATCGATTTTCTTGGTAAATGTGTTTTCGAAGAATTTATTATTATTGTTAGTTTTATTTTCTTATTAGGATTTTGTATTTCTTAGTTTTCGTTATTATTGCTTTTTATGTGGGATTGACAGTAACTCGTCCTCAAAATTATATATCATTAATTGGTATTGTTGTACTAATTTTATTAGGCACGATTGGTATGAAAATATATTTATTTGAAAATCTTTAACGATTGTTTCATTTTTATATAATTAGGTTCAAAATATCCTCATCGAGTAGGTAGAAGAAAAATGTTTCGTTGAAACAATGAATATAAATCTAGATTCGATGGAAAACAGTATTTTACTCATTTGTTATTCAATTTATATTAGCTGCTGTTGTTATACGTTTTGAAATTGGTTTTCAATGTTTTGATTTTCTTGGAAAAGAAGTATCGAAATTCATACAGTAAATTATTCATTTAATAATCTTATACAAAATAAAACAACAAGTTCTATTTTAGTAATGCTGATGCTGGAGCAATTTTTGTATTTGGAAAAACATTTTTTCATATTTAAAGTATATCTCTTCTATAGATTGAATATTATAAAGAAATTATTTTGTTTTTAATAAGGTAACTTCAATAATTATTTTTCTTGGAGCTGTAATAAGTGTACTTTATTATTTAGGTGTTATGTAATATATTATTGGAAAAATTGCATGGTTTATGCAAAAATCTTTAAATACAACTGCAGCTAAAGTAGATATTGAATATTTTTAATAAAAATAATTTTTTATTTATTTAGTCTATAAATGCAGCTGCAAATATATTTGTTGGAATGAGTGAAGTATCATTAATGATTATGCCATTAGTACCTAAAATGACAACATCAGAACTTCATTCTGTACTAGTTAGTAGTTTTGCAACAATGGCAGGTTTTGAAATGAAATTCTTTTAGTTTTTTTCTTTTCTTTTCCATAAAAATTTCTATTAGGATCTGTTTTTGCAACATTTAAACAAAAACAAATTCATCAAATATTCAATTTACAGATACTCTTTAAATAGACTGATAGTTTGAAAATGCAGTAAACATTTTTATGAATTTCTTGAATTTTTAACTATATATTATGTACATCAAGAATGAAAAGATATACTCTAAAAACTTTTGTTATCATTCAATACAAAAGATGATTGATAGAGATGAAGAATATACTAGTCGAGGATCTTGTCTGAAAAGTCAGATCTGAATATTCTTGTAGATAGAATCTTGTCTGTTGAAGCAAGAAATGACTCATTAGATATGATTTTTTTTCTTCTATCTAATAGATTTATTTAAAGGATAGTAAATAATAAAAATGACGTGTTTACATAAAAATAATTCAAATAATTTATTTATATTAAAAACTCAAATCAAATACTGACATTGGTCTTTTCGATATTTTTTGTCAAGCCATTATTTGATACACTGATATACTTCGATATGTTTATCTATATCCTAAACTGTTTTGACTTAGCTGCTATTGACATGCAACTCAAATATTGTTCGAAAAGACTACTATTTACTCGTTAAATCCAATATAATAAACATATTCTATTCTAGTTCAAAAACGAACGAATAATCAGTATCGAAATAAGAACTATTCATTTTGACTAAGTTTTTTAAGATATTCTACAGTTTATCTGACTGATCTTTGAAAATATTTCGTCTCAAAATTTTAGTCAAATAATTATTATTATTATACGTTTTTATAAGCAATTCCTTTTTTCTTAAAAATAAGAAAATGTCAATCATAGTGACAAGTATGATTTCCGTAAAAGAATCAATAGTTGAGAACAATAATAAAATTCAATACCAATTAAACGTTTAACTCTTACACTTTTAAGTGTCATACGAAGGTTCCATTAACAATAATGTAATCCTTCTATAAAACAAATACTCTAAAGACATTCTTTGACATCATTATGATTATCATGAAAAGAATGAGAATATATTATAACTATTAGGTTAATAGTAAAGTTCTTCATATATACAACAACAAATACATAGACATAATAATATTTATATTCATTCGATTGTATAGTGAAGGACAACTATTAACTTTACCTATTTATATATGTATATGAATAAATGTATTTTACAAGAATCAATTTCCATTGAAACATTTCGTTGGAGGAAAGAAAAAGAAAAGTATAACGCGACAAAACAATTTTGTTTGAGACATTATGAATTTTCACTTTTTTTTCTCTTTTTCTTCTCTTCTGTTCGGTTTTCTTTATGTCTCCGTTATTTATCCTTGAATTGAATGTCGTCGCATAGCACTCATCTTTGTTCTTTCTTACTACATACGTAAAATTGATTTTGTTTAATATTATATGAGCTAATAATGATGAGCATATAATGTACACTATTTTGTTCCACTTATACAATCGAACGCTTTTGCAAATGAAATGAATGTAAGTTTATAAAGAACTCAAGAAGAAATTAGTCCGAAATTTTGTTTTAGGATCAAGATGATAATACATCTCATTCATCAATTATTTGTAAACAATGCTCAAAGTAAAATAAAAAATTGAATTAAAATTATAATAATCTTGTTTCGTTTTTTTTGTATCAAAGATCGAGACGATATATTATTATTATTTTGATTATTATTATAATATTATTCATAGCAGGCATAATATTGATTACACTCGCTAGTATAAGTATGTAATTAGATTTTTGAACTCCATCTGTTTCTTATCTTTACTTAGAACCATGTTTCTTCCTGAAATGTCATCCAAGAGCGTCAGGCTGTATTAATCGTTCACCATTCAAAGGACAATGCATTTGTGATTCTTATACAGCTGGTAATGGTCGAGCAGTCTGTGATGGTAGTTAAAGAATAATAGATCTTCTTATGTAGATATAAGAGAATTTTCATTTCATTTGTTATAGAATGTGGAATAACATATGTTCAACCAAATGCTCGTATTATTGGTGGAATAGATACGAATGAACATAGCTGGCCATTTGCTGTTCTTATTCAACAAAAATATAAACGAACAATAATGCTAAATGATAATGCTTATTTAGTCAGTATCTTATAAGTTGATATTTCAATAAAATAGTTATTCGATTTTTTTTGTTAAGATTTCAACATCATGGATGTGTGGAGGAACACTGATTAATCATAGAACAATTTTAACTGCGGTTAGTTTTGTCTATTGACTTTTTTTTGAATATAATATAATAAACTATTTTAGGCACATTGTGTGAAAAAAGCCGGTGATACGTAAGTTCATTTTTTTAAAAATCAGACGAAATTGAAATATGAAACTGATGAAAAAAATTTTATTATTTAGATTCGATTATCGAACATTTGTATTTCCTATTGTATGGAATCAATATTATTCAAATATTGAGAGTGTAAATGTATTCCATGCGATTATATTTCCAAAATTTTAAATTTTATTTTAGACATTAGAAGTTAGTGTGAGTCTACATGATCGACGACAAGAAGTTGAACGACGTATTGTAAAAGTTCTTCAAGTTATTGTAGTAAGATAGATGAAATATTTTCCATATGTATAAATAATATATTATGTGTATCATTTCTAAGCATCCTTCGTATAATAAAAGACATCTATTGAATGATATTGCAATACTTAAACTTGAAGATTATCTTCAACCATCAGCTACTATTCAATTTGCTTGTTTACCTCATTCATTACTTGAAGTAAATACAACAGGTATGGTTGTTGGTTTTGGTGATACTTATCCAGGAGCTAATCAAGGTAAAATTTATTGAAGGAGAGGAATAACAATTCATAAATCGAGCTTTGCTGTTTTTGTATTATTATTATCAGGCTCATTGATTCTCAAACAAGTTAACTTAACAATATATCCAAATGATTTTTGTACAAATGTTTCACCATCAACAATAAAAAATTGGGATACACAAATATGTTGTGGTGATTTAAATGGAGAACGTGATACATGTCAAGGTGATAGTGGTGGTGGTTTATATATTCGACAAAATTTATCAAATATATTTCATTATACTGTTAATGGTATTGTTTCTTATGGTGAACAATGTGCTAGTCCAATGAAACCGGGAATTTATACACGAATATCAAATTATATTGATTGGATTCAAGAAAATAGTGATTTTGATCTAGTAGAAATTTAGTCGAACTTTTTATTTTAAATTCTGATATATTTCTATGTACAATAAAAATAAAATGTAACTACCGATCTTTGTGAAATAGAAAAAAAATTCTGAAATATAGAAGTTCCAAAACGGCATTTCTCTTCTTGGATATAACACATAAAAGATTTCATAAAACATTAGATAAAAAAAAAGATAATAATGAATAGTACTTTGCAGATGATTTATTCATTGAGAAAGCACTTTTCGAAGATTGAAATACTGACAAATTTTGACAGTTTTAATTTAAATCTTTTGCTAAAGCTATTCAATTGATGATAAACACCGTTCATGTAAGAAATGCGCATTGTCTCTATTCTGACTTCTATATCATTAATAAAAATTTATTGTTCATTTGATTAACATAATAAAACTCAACAATGATATGCTTAAATTTGGGTGTGGGTGAGTGTGAACGAGGATACCCATTCTATTCATTCACCTCATCCAAAACCACACACACCCTGAAAAATCCGTTATCAGTTCTAATTAATTAATAACTGTTTAGCTATTATGACTTTTATGTACATGTTGACCAATGATAATCAGAAGTGGACAGTGCGCATTTGAACGTAGTCTCCGTCAATAAACCAAAACAAAATAGTTTCATGGTAGTTCCGAAACATCATTTGTACGAGAAAGGGCTGAGCAAGTCCTCGGACGAGCGCTACTTGTTATTTTATCAAATGCTTATTGGAAGAAAAAAGAAAAAAAAGAATCTTATATATATGGATACATAAGTATATAGATCAGAGAAGGATTAGAAGAAGACGGAAAGACAATATAAAAGAGCAAAGAAAATCTGTGATCTATTCGAACGATATCACACGAAGAAAAATATTGACTTCTAATGAGAAAAAAACCCAGTAGAAGAAAAAGAACAGAAATTACATACATGTACTCAGAGTATTAACTCATGCTTGCAAGAAAGCAACAGAAGAAAGAGAAAAATACCCAGTAAATATGACGATGTCGTGTATGTAAGCTACCAAATCTATTGAGATATTATCAATTGGCGGTTGACGCAGAACACAACACAATATTTTGCGACGCTTTTATCATTTATTATTTTTTTCTCATCTAATATAAAGAAGAGCTATGAACAGGTTAACTAATAAATTATTAATTTTGCGACATTTTATTTCACAGTAAATAAGGAAAGCATTAACAATCACTGGTTTCTATGTAATTTCGAACAACTTCAGAAAGTGATAACAATATGTAGTATAAAAGAATAAGAATTTCACTTCTATTTTCTCACTTTATCACAGACTGATTTGTATCGAATTAAATAGTCTGTTCTTTTCTTGATCTATTTTCAATATTACACTTCTATTCTTTATTATGATCCTAAACAATTTCTTTTGTTTTTGATATTTTCATTCATATCAACATGGAATGCACGATAGTGCGTCCTTGAATTTCCCATTTATTGTTTTCATTATTAATCTTATCTCTCTTCTGCTTCTTTGTGCAGGTAGCGAATATGTATCGTCGATTAGTAGATAGACTACTTCTGTTCCTTCTTTAATCAGACTAACTTAATTTCTAGATTGATTTCCTCCTTTTTTTTTCTTTCTCTTTCATTCTTCTTTTAGTCTTTTTTTTACTTTCTGCGCTCCTTGTTTTTTAGCTCAAGATTAAAGGCTTATTCACATTTTGTTCTTGCGTGTTTCTGTCGATTTTTCTTCGAGTTAGTCGGGCGATATTGCAATTACACAGTAGTTTATAGGTAAGAAGAACAAATATTATTACAATAGTGTAACGTCATTATATTGTCTGGTCTATTCTTCTCTTTCGTTCGTATGTCATCGTAATTCGATAGCTTGGACGATATATATATTGGAACTTTTTCTTTCTGTTTTTTTCCTATCACTAAGATGAAGATTCTCCTACGTAGTCAATGAATAACTGGAAGACTGATATTTCTTTTCTATACCATCGCGCCATTAGATTTATCAAGATGGCGAAGTGTGTTTTTTCTTTCTTTTCTTCTGTCGTTGACATGGAGGTCCTGTACACATTGGTAGAAGTGTAAGCCGATGAGTCAATCGGCGGCGGCGGCGGCTTAGAAAAATCAAATTTTTTGTCTGTCGGCGGCGGCGACTCAAAAAAATCAAATTTTTTTCGCCTGTCGGCGACGGTGGCTTAACCGATCGGCGTACACCTCTACACATTGGTAATGAAGAGACTTTGATATTTATAATTAAAATAGTTTAAACATAAATAATAAAGTAATTATCTGTCCACGAAATTACAGGTAAAACTAAAATATTTGCATCCACATGAATATGTCTGAATAAATACGAAAGGCTTATTAAGAAAAATCATAAAACCAGAACACGTATCGAGCCTGCATCTTCTAATAATCGGTGGGATATTCTATCCTTAAGCTACCTGATTTTCTCTCTAATTATGAAAATAACTGCATATTCGAACAAGTATTTAAATTCAAAGTGCTAGGGCAATAGTGATTAAAATTCTTATTTAGTTAAACTTTATTGCTGCACGAGAAATTCTGTTTCTAAATTGGAAAATCGATAGAATGAAGTAGGAACTCTACTGCTCTGACTATTGTTAAAATCGTGGACAAGAGTTCTGTTTGGCTGCATCGACAGATTTTACTTATTTAGAAATAGAAACATGATTTTCGCGCAGCAATAAGAATTAAACTGTTGATTCGTAATCATTATTGTTCTGATATGTATTTATTTTATTTGAATGTCGAATATGTAGTCTTATATACAGACTAAGGAGACAGTCAAATAGTTTAATATTAAAACAGCCGACCGGTTATCGGAAGATATGGATTCGATTCCTGTTCTGATTTTGTGATCTTCGTTCAATAAGTCTTTCATCCATATTGAAGCATATTCATTGTGGATGCATTCTCTTAAAATAATATGCATACGTCGTGAATAGATGACATGATTCAACAGCTTTTAACTCTTCTTTCTTCTTTTAATTTGACTCATCTTCAGAATAGTACCTAGTGAGAATAGAGGCGCGGATAATTCTTCTCGGATAAATGGAAATTATTGTTCGGATCTCGATGAGAGATATGTAGTTGTAAGGCAAGTTGAAAAAATCAGTTTATTTTTTTATCAAAAGTTCAGGCTTGAACAGTGGTCTTTCTTGGAGATTTCTGAAGACATGCTGAAGTTTATTAATTTCTGAAAAAGTAACTGTACATGCGCGTTTTGCCTAAAAATAACTGGCTTTTCTGTTTTTCTAACAATTGTACCTTTTTTGCGTTCTCAAGCACTTCTTTTTTTGAGCAGTTATCTCTCGCGTAGCTGTCTTCGGCAGCGGATTTATTATCAGTTTTTACTATGTTTTATCCGTTCGAAACAACTAAAGAAAAAAGAAGTTTTTCGTGAATCCAGGAAAAAGTTTTCGTATCTCCAAAAATTTTCACATTTTAGATTACCAGAAAGAGGGCAACATCAAACCTGATGCTGAAGCAAAGACGAATTGGCACCCCGCAACCTTCGCCGTCTGAAGGTTCTTCTTCCAGCCCACCCCCAGGCCGAGGAACTCCAACCGGAGGCTGGGTATGTGGTAATTGTAAAAGGAAGCCTCATCAAACCTGTGAGGATCCGTGGAGCTGCGATTGTCAATGTACTGTGGGTGGACCCGAAGACGTTGTACAAAAAAGTACAGCGATTATTGGAGGAATAGTTTTGGTGGTTTCTGGTTTGGCTTTAAGTCTTTTGACTGGTGGTATCGGATGGGGACTTGTGGGTGGTGCGATGGTCGGCGCTGGTATTAGTTCCACTTGCAACGCCGCGGGAAAAGCGATCAAAGGCGAAAGAATGAACGGTAAAGAATATTTTGACGATGTTGTCTTTGGCGCTCTATCGGGAATGGCAACTGGTGGTATATCTGCCGCGGGTGAAATGATAGCAATGAATATTGCTAAGCAAGGTGTAACAAGACTGTTTATTCGAATTCTTGTTGGTGCTCTGGTTGGTATTGTATCAAAAGCTATAGACGAATTAAAACAATGTTTTACAGGTCGCAAGAACTGGTCGGATTTCGGGAAAGGTCCGGGTCCTGATGGTAATGGAGGCGGCATGGCAGCTTCATGGGGGACCTGTGCATTGGTTGGTGGATTAGCTGGACTAGGCAGTCATATTAGCACGCATCTAACAACGAATGTCACATCTGAACTTTCCAAGAGTGCTATTCGTGTTATTGTTAGTTCGATAACTGCAGCAACTTGCGATGCAGCAGTTCAAGGTATTAACATAGCTGTTGGCAAGCAAAAGAAATATGATGTCAAACGTACCCTTTCAAGTGCTGCAGTAGGTGCAGGGATGGCAGCAGCCCAAGAGATAACAAAGAACGCCATTTATCGCGCAGCCGGTGGAAAACAGAGTTTCTTAGTCAAAAGAGCCAACAGAGAAGCAATCAAGAAAAAAGTTCCTCTTAAACATCAGCAAAAGGTGCACCAAGCATTAAAAAACTTAAAGAAGATACCTTTAAGAACATTAGATGAAAAAGCATCAAGAGCGGCTACTTATACGTATTCAAAACAACAAGAAGCTGAATATGATGCTCGACATGCAACAAGAATACAAGATATCGACAGTCGCCTTGAATTAGAAACGCAATTGAAAGATCAAGCAACTCAAGATATCAAAATGGCAACAACACAAGAACTTAAAAAGTCATTAGTACAAGTAATAAAAACGCACCAACAAAACGTCGACAATTTAAAAACGCAAAGGACTGGGGAAACACAAAATTATGACAGATATAAACAACAACTCGCAGCATTTAGACACGACAATATGATGAATAATGATAATGCTCATAATCTTATTGGAGAGAAAGTTGGACAAATTGCTGTTGATATAGATGACCTTCAAAATGGTGAGAGAGGGTTAGTAAGGGCGATATTTGATTATGATCGCAGTAACCCAGAACATCCGGAATTTAAATTCGCTGCATACACATCCGAACATGATTACACGGCGTTGCCAGGCCACGGTGCAAGTGACTTTCACGAATTTTATCAAAGCGTCGCAGAACATTTCGATACACTCTTACAAACAGCTCATGGACTTGTGAATATTCTGATAACTAGTCACTCATTACACGCTAAGATCGGGGACATGATGGATAAAGAAAAGACCGATGAAGTCGACAGGCGGAGATCTCCGCCTCCTTTCAACTTCTCGCCTCCACGTTACAATATACCTAGACCCCCATCCACATCCACACCCATACCTACACCAACACGTATACTCACACCCACACCCA